AAGGAATGTTGTTTGGGCTGAAATGTAAAAACTGCAAGTACGTCTCCTTTTTTGTAGAGTGTGCATTCCCCAGACACCTAATATACCAAACGGTTGTGGCTAGGCTCTGCTTTCCTTTGCTGCAGGCATCTGGCCCTTCCATCTATCTCCCTGCAACTCCACTTCATAAGGAGTCTAAAATAAGGTCTTTCCACCAATATTTGTCGAGGCTGGGCCTTTGGTACCCGAGAGCTGAAAGTGCTGATTTTGCACAACCAGCCAAGCTCGATCTGGAAGTCTTTGTCCTCCTATAATTTTGTAGATAACCAATTTTCTCTAGCAGTTAAGGCACCAGACTAGGAACTGCGAGACGGTGAGTTCTCGTTCTGCCTTTGGCGTGAAAGACAGGAGGGTGACTTTGGGCCAATCACCAGGAAATAATGAATTCTAGTCCTGTGTTAGCTGTGAAAGCCATCTGGGTGACTTTGGACCAATCACCAGGAGACTGGGAGTTCTAGTCCAGCGTTAGCTGTGAAAGCCAGCTGGGTGACTTTGGGCCAATCACCAGGAAATAATGAATTCTAGTCCTGTGTTAGCTGTGAAAGCCATCTGGGTGACTTTGGACCAATCACCAGGAGACTGGGAGTTCTAGTCCAGCGTTAGCTGTGAAAGCCAGCTGGGTGACTTTGGGCCAATCACCAGGAGACTGGGAGTTCTAGTCCAGCGTTAGCTGTGAAAGCCATCTGGATGACTTTGGGCCAATCACCAGGAGACTGGGAGTTCTAATCCAGACTTCGGCATGAAAAGTGGCTCAGTGACTTTGGCCCAGTCCCTGCCTCTCCGCCTAACCACCCCTCCCCCTTCACAGGACTGTCGTGGTAGGGAAAATAGGAGGAGGAAGGAGTATCAGGTGTGTTCTTCCCCTTGAATTGTTTATAAAAAATAACAAAGGCAGGATATAAGTAAAATAAATACACGCATAAATAGCAATAGCACTTAGACTTATATAGCACTTCACAGTGCTTCACAGTCCTCTCTAAGCGGTTTAAAGAGTCAGCCTTTTGCCCACAACAATCTGGGTCCTCGTTTTACCCACCTCCGAAGGATGGAAGGCTAGTCAACTTGAAGGAAGGAAGGAAGGAAGGAAGGAAGGAAGGAAGGAAGGAAGGAAGGACAATAGTGATAGCTCTTAGACTTACATACCACTTCACAGTGTTTCACAGCCCTCTCTAAGCAGTTTACAGAGTCAGCCTCTTGCCCCAAACAATCTGGGTCCTCATTTTACCCACCTCGGAAGGACGGAAGGCTGAGACAACCTTGAGCCTGGTGAGATTCGATCTTCCAAATTGCTCTCAGCCGGTGATCAGCAGAGGTAGCCTGCAGTACTGCACTCTCACCACTGCGCCACCATGGCTCATAGTTGCAAAGAAACCCCATTGCACTTTTTCCGCAAGGGCAGTAATCCAGTCTGACTATTTCGGAAGCCCAACTTCCCATGAGCCACGCCTCAAACCAGCTGTTCTTCTGCTTGATTCTTTCTAGGCTAAAGTGCCACAACAAATGTACCAAAGAGGCCCCACCGTGTCACCTGCTGATCATCCACCGTGGAGGTAAGAGCCACTACAGTTGCATTTTGGATTTCAAACGGAATATGTTCATTACCAGATGACACGGGGAAAAAACATTATTTGTTCAATCGCTGATAAAAAAAATTACAGATCGCCCAAGGTGGACTATTTTGCTCCACCTCTTTCTTTGTTTTGATTTTCCTCTTCTCCAGTCTTTTCTCTTTTCTTTCTTTCTCTCTTTTCTTTTCGATTCAGCAAGATTAGTCCGGACAGAATCCGTGCCATGTGACATCAACAATCCCTTGCGGAAACCCCCTCGATATTCAGATCTGCACATCAGCCAGACGCTTCCCAAAACCAACAAAATCAACAAGGTGAGGTATTACAAAGTGACACACACACACACACACACACACACACACACACACACACACACACAGTTGCTTTCTAATTTGGTCGTACGGGTGGTGGATCTTGAAGAGGATTCTAACTTCTTTCCCAATTTAGAAAACAGCAGATGGAGAATGTGGATTGTGAATAAGGGTGTTTATTGTTCACTCCAGGGGTGAGTTCCGGCAGGCACAACTGCCGATTCCCTCGTCGGCGTGCCGCATGCACTTGATGCGCGCCATGTGCGCTTCAGGCATGCTGCATGTGCTTGATGCGTGCTGCAATAAAAATTGTTCTGCAGAAGCGAAAAACCAAGGTGGCTGGTTCAGGGGTGTGGCAGGCCTGGGTCGCTGCTGGTTCCAGTGACCCAGGCCGCCAAACCACTACCAGTTCAGCCGAACCACTCCGAACTGGTAGGAACCCACCACTGGTTCACTGCTGTTATGACTGCAAGGAATTGACAGGAAGGACCTGTGTCTAAAAATCTCGGGAACTGGTGAACAGGACAGAATAGAAAATATATTCAAGGCAGTCCTCAGTTTACAACCATTCTGTACAACCAAATCTAGAGAACTGGTGAACAGGACAGAATAGAAAATATATTACAGGCAGTCCCTGGCTTACAACCATTCTTCCAAACAGTCCTCTGCTTACAACCATTCTTAACCAAATCAAGAGAACTGTTGAACAGGACAGAATAGAAAATATACTACAGGCAGTCCTCGGTTTACAACCATGCTTACAACAGCTGTCTCAGCATTCCGACAGTCCTACAATTCAAATTCAGATGCTTGGTGACTGGCGTTTATTCATGATGACGATTGTGGCATTCCGAGGTCAGGCCATTGGCATTGGCAACCTGTCACGGTTGGCTTCCAACAAGCAAAGTCAATGGGGGGGGAGCCGAATTCACTTAACAACTGGGTGATTCACTTAACGACTGCAATGATTTGCTTAAGAAAGCTTACAAAAATGCACACCCACACAACAACCATTTTGGTTAGCGATGGAAATTCTGGCCCAGTTGTTGTCTTAAGTCAAAAGTTACCCATTTAGCAAATCCTCTCATTCTTGTATAAGTTTTGTAGGATTCTGGGGTTGTTGTTGTTGTTGTTGTTGTTGTTGTTGTTGTTTTGCAATGTGGAAGAATCCCAAAGGTGCTTGATTTCAAGAGGCAACTGGATTTTCTTGTTTTTCTTCGAAGACATTTCACTTCTTATCCAATTTTTCAGCTCTGGATGGATGGTGGCGAATGGAAGGATTTATGCTCCTTGCAGATAGCTGGTCATTTGCATCCTTTTAGCAAGTCCTTGAGGTCCCTTCGAGGTTTGTTGGTGTCCTCAGGGGTCACCTGAGTGGTGCAAACGGGTGTGGAGCCTTCTTGGAACTGCTGAAAGGACTCCTGTGTTGTACACTGGAGATAGACGATGTTGTATCCCTCCCCATTCGTTGAGAGAGGGCTGTTCAATTTTGACACAGATGGCCTCTGTGACCCCTCTTTCAAATTAGCCGTCCTCTCTGCCCAAAATGTGGATTTTGCTGCCTTCAAAAGAACAGCCTTTGTCTTTAAAATGCAGATGGACTGCCGAATCTTGTCCTGGTGGGCTTGTTCTATGTTGCGTCATGCGTTTATGAAGTCGCTGTTTTGTTCCCCCAATGCACATACCGGCACATGACTCACTGCATTGTACTGCCTATATCACGATGCTCCGTTTGCGTCTGAGTGTTTTATCCTTGGAGTGGACAAACTTCTACCTTGGTATATTCTTGGGTTTGAAGTGTGCTCAATGAAGTAGCTTCAACTGGTCCAGAATGCGGCTGCGCGAGTTATCATGGGGGCACCTAGGTGTTCCCATGTTACACCCCTTTTAGGCGGCATGCACTGGTTGCCGGTTGTCTTCCGGGTGCGATTCAAGGTACTAATTATGACCTTTAAACCCAAGAATATACCAAGGTAGAAGTTTGTCCACTCCAAGGATAAAACACTCAGACGCAAACGGAGCATCGTGATATAGGCAGTACAATGCAGTGAGTCATGTGCCGGTATGTGCATTGGGGGAACAAAACAGCGACTTCATAA